TATTTGTAAGCACTCAGATCAGTGTCTGGCCCATAGTAAATGTTCTGTAAGTATCATTTAATGACCTGGTTTCATTTTATACCAGCTTCACAGATGAAGAATTGAGGTCCACAGAGATTGGGCCACCATCTTTCAGGGAATGGAAGAGCCTAAATTTGTTTAGCATTTAAAAAATTAATTCCAGCTTCATTTAAATAAAATGCACACATTTTAAGGGTACGCCTTGGGCACGTTTACCTATGTGTACACTCCTGATCAAAATAAGGGCATTCCCAACACTTCAGAAGGCTCGCTGGGGTCTCCCCTCAGTCAGTAGCTTCCCACCAAGTTAAGTGCTAGTCTGATTTTCCACTAAAGATTTTCTGCCCGTTTTGAACTTCATCCAAATGGAGGCATACAGTCAGTTTCTTTTATTATCCGCAGTCTGATTTTGAAGCCCAGATGGTCCCACCCTAGAAATTGCCGTCTTAACTATTATCCTATACTGTACTGCCTTTTAAAGCCACGAGTCCTAGGACGTTCCTATTCTCCCCCTCCCACCTTTTCCTCACTCCTTTTCCAGCTCTGCCTGAAACGAAGCTGTCCATTGAGCCAGCCACGAATTCTAATTGGTCAGTTCTGCGTTAGAAAGCCCCGCACAGCCCACCCCCGCCAGAGGAGGCCGCTCTGCCAGGAAGCATATGATAGGGCGCATGTTTCAAGAGGTGGGCCAATGGGGGGAGAGCCTGTTCTAAACCGTCCACCCGCCCACCAATGGGAGCGAGGTGTTCCCGCCCTCTTCAACTGCCTCCGCCCAGCTGCCTCAGCCTCGTGCCCTTGCAGTTTGACACCCTCCCTGTGTCCTGAAAGAAGGTCCCCTCAAAGCTGCCTAAGAGATGCAGGATGGCGAGTCCCAACTCCCTGCATCACCCCTGGGCCTTCTGCACCCCTCCCCTCCCTGCAGTGTATGGGAGAGGAGGCTCTTCCAGACAAAAATAACATATATGTAAATATGTATGTTTTCAGGGGTTGCGTTGTTTCTTTTTTTTTTTCCCCCTTTGTTAATGGGATAATGCCTTGGTTTTTCTTTTTTAAGAAGTATTATTTTTGAATTTCAAATATCTTTGTAATTTGAACACCCTCTTTCCTTTTTCTGAGTTCTGGGTGCTGGGGAAAATCATCAGCCTCCCTCTGTAGCCTCCACCTTGCCCCTCCAGGTGAGAACCCAGGAGAAGGGAGAGGAGAAGGGAAGAGCTTGGGGGAGGGCAGAAGAAGGGGTAGGGTGGAGTTCCTAAGAAGGAGCAGGCACACATCTGTAGGGTTGAGGGATGAAGAGAAGAAATTTTAAGGTGTGAGATGGATTGGGAAGTGTAGACCAGCACCAAGGATTACAGGGAGAAGATGAAATTGTCGTAATTGGTTGATTAAAAAAAAAAAAAATCAGGATGTCCAACTGTTCTGGATGAGGGATATTTAAAGTGAAATAAAGGTCCCAAAGAGGGGCGCATGGATGGCTCAGTCAGTTAACCGTCTGCCTTGAGTTGAGATCATGATTTCCTGGTCCTGGGATCTTGGGATTGAGCCCCACCTTGGGCTTACAGCTCAGTGGGGAGTCTGCTTCTCCCTCTCCTTCTGCTTTCCCCCCTACCTGGTCATGCTTTCTCTCTCCCTCTCAAATAAATAAATAAAATCTTTAAAAGAAAAAAAAAAATCCCAAAGAGATTAGGGGAGAGCAACACCTGATGGCTTACAGATGGATGGATCCCATGGGGCGTTGAGTAATCAGGGTGAAGGGAGTCTTCGGGTCTGAGGGACACTGTGTGTTCTCATGCTCATCTTTTCTCACCTTCTCTACCCCAGACAGACATGGCCCTGTTCTTTGTACTGGGCTGCATTTTCTTCCCACTGAGCTTCACTGTCCTCTGCTGGGGCCTGCAGAGCCACTCCAACCTGCGGATGGAGAGAGCGGAGGCTGTTTCGGTGGCGTCCAAGTAAGAGGGCAGGGTGAGGGCATCCTTCCTGGGCTGGGGCTGGTTGGAGCTGGGCTCCTGCTTTCAGGAAGAGTTAGTAGTGAGAGCAGAAGCAGGAACAAGGCTGTAGGCTGTGTGGGGATGCCTGGCGAGCTTGAGGACTCCATGCTTAGCCCATCCATGGGGCAGCAGCTGGTCGACTCCAACCAAACATTACGGAACTAGAATTGGGGGGCTCCATGTTGTCTGACCTGATTCTTTCTTAAAAGAAGTTGAGCTTTGATGTGAGATCTCCTAATTTTCAAACACTGACAAATAAGTTAGAATTTAAGAAAATACTATCCTGACAACACCATACGGCTAAACAAAGCATGTTTGTGGGCTGGATTGGGCCCTTCTGCTGCCAATTTTTGACCTATTCGCCATAGCTTAATATACACATGAGCTATCATGGAAACCGGTGGGAGAGGGAGCAGACAGAAGGCAGAGTTAATGTGGGTGTCTAGGTGGATTCCTGGAAGACAGGAAAGTGTCTCTGTCTGCTGTAATTCATGTCATCCAAAGAGAAGCCATGACTTGACCAGGTTTGTAGCCCTGAATCAAGTAGATAAGGAGCCCTACGATCGCCCACCCTCCCCCCAAACTCAACTTTGTTCTTTGGAGCTATCCAGTTTTGCCAGTTCTCATAGCTGTGTTGTCTTGGGCAAGTTTTTAAAAATTTTTCCCCCTCCCTTAAATCTCTGAGCCCATTTCTTGTCTATAAAACAGGTATTACCATCTGGGAAGATTAAATTAAGAATGAACATAAACTACCTTGCCTCTTGCCCAGCATGTAGTAAACACTTAAGAAGTTGGGTCCTGGGGTGCCTGAGTGGCTCAGTGGGTTAAGGCCTCTGCCTTTGGTTCGGGTCATAATCCCAGGGTCCTGGGATCAAGCCCCACATTGGGCTCTCTGCTCAGCAGGGAGCCTGCTTCCTCCTCTCTCTCTGCCTGCCTGCCTACTTGTGATCTCTGTCTGTCAAATAAATTTTAAAAAATCTTTAAAAAAAAAGAAGAAGTTGGGTTCTTTTTCCCCCTCTTAGGGGAAGCCCTGAGGTCAAGAAGCTAGGGCCACTATTATCCCTAAGTTGTCCCTAACTTCCTTGGCCAAAGGCTAGAGACCTCTCAGGGTCTGTTCCTTCTGCATGCCACTAGAGGGCAGCACAAAATTGCAAATCCAGCCTTTTGCACCTCTTTTGGGGAGCAAAGGGAAAGGTCTTTGGACAGGCAAAAACAAATTGCGGGGTTGCTTTTTAAAAAAATTTTTAAGGATTTTATTTATTTATTTGACAGAGATCACAAGTAGGCAGAGAGGCAAGCAGAGAGAGAGAGGGAAGCAGGCTCCCTGCTGAGCAGAGAGCCCAATGTGGGGCTCCATTCCAGGACCCTGAGATCATGACCCGAGCTGAAGGCAGAGGCTTTAACCTACTGAGCTACCCAGGTGCCCCCACAGGGTTGCTTATTGAAGTGTACCATAGGATAGGCCTGGAAACCAAAGTACGTTTTGGGTACAGGCCCCACATCATGCAGAAGTCTGGAGGACAGTGGGGTTCACGACAGGAAGGCCAAATTCCAAGAAGCAGCTCAGAGCCCCAATGGGGTTCCAGCAGGGCCTTGAACGGACATGCAGCATGACCCTAAGTCACTGTGCCTCAGTTTCCTCACGGTTGAATGAGAGGTTTGAACCAGCAAATCCCTGGGGTCCTTTCCCACATGGAAACTACTATTCTGTGAAGTCTCCCCCACCCCCCCGGAAGGGGAGACTGGAAGATAATAAACCTGAAGGAAAAGAATGTGACCAGTGCTTAGGGGAGGCCAGGAAAGGCCAGGCAGCCTGAGGGACAGGGGCAGGAACATCCTCCCATTCCCGGTGGGTTTTCAGAGAGGCAAGTTTTCCTCACCCTCTTCAAACCCCGCAGCGACTCAGATACCCAGCATGGGAGGGCTCCTGCCTCTCCTAACTATGTGACCTGTGGGGAGGGCCACCAAAGGCTTCAGGACCACTCCTTGATCTGTTAAAGCGGGACAGGTGCTTTGCAAATGTTAGACAAGATCACAAGACAGGCTTGCAGCCAAGATGGGACCTAGGGGCACGTCATCCATACCTTCCACTTTTCCCCCTTCCCATTGGAGTAAAGGATGTGGGGGGTCTCTGAGCCTGAAGGAGGCTGTGTTGAGGTGTTTTTATTCTCATCCAGTCCTTAAACTCATCCTTCAGAGACAGCAAGCTGCACCACTTTGTCTCACTCCCTCCTCCAAGGAACCCTTTTTCTCTCTGCTGGAGTGGCGCCCCTGAACTGGGACCCCAGCGGACCACTGAGGCAAGCATTGGGAGGCACTGGCAGAGGAAGAAATGGCAGGCATTTGAAATGTGCTGGTGGGAAAAAGGGTCCAGTCGCCATCTGGGGGCTCCGAGCCCCCTCCCAGCTGGCCAGGGACCCCAGGGGCACCTTCCTCCCCAACAGGAGAACCAACCCTCCCTTGGCCCATGTCCCCAGCAGCCCCCTGTGCCGCAGCTGCTGTCTCTTTAAGGGCCTCCCCCTTCCTCTTTCTCTGCTCCCCCCCATCTCTGTCGCAGCCGCTGCTGTGGCTCAGAGCTGCATGGGGAGACGCTGCTGCAGGTCCGGTTTCTTGGTGTCTGGTCGGTGCCATCATTCCCCACCCCTCCCCCGCCCTCCCCAAGCTGGTGGCTCCCCCTCCCCCTCCCCCTCCCCACCGAGGGGGCAGGGGGCTGGGCAGGAACTCTCTATAATGCCCCGTGCAGCCTCCGGGCCAGGCGGCGGGGACCGTGGCGGCAGCGAGAGGCGGGAGAGCAGTGCTGACCGCTGACCACTTGCCCGGCCTCTCCTCTTGTCTCCCTCCCTCCTTCCTGCCTCCCTCCCTCTCTCCCTCCCTCCCAGGGCTGGCACCACAGTCCCACCCCGCCTTCTCGGGTCCTCCCAGCCTCTCCACGTAAACCCCCCCTCCCCACCTGCCTCTTCTCTCCCTCCCCTCCCCCACCCGCATCTTCTTCCTCCTCCGGTACCCTCTCCCTGTCTGTCCTCTTATCAAGTCCTCTCCTCCTGCCTCGCTTCCAGCCCTCTGGCCAGCTTCCTCCCGCTCCCTTTCCCGGATCCTCCCTCTACCCAGTCTCTCCCCATTTCCCCAGTCTCATTTAACTCCCTTTCTCCCTTCCTCTGGTCTGACTCGCCTGCCCCATCCCGTCCCCGCCCTGTCCCCTTTGTGCCCCTTTTTTTCTCCCTCCCTCCCTGGCTTGGTGTCCCTTCTCCACCTCTAACTCCCTTCAGCTTGGCCTCCCTGTCCCCTCACGGCCGCCAGCCTCCCTGCCCGTGGCCTGAGCCACCATGCTGACCCCAATGGTGGCTGGGGGGGTGGTATTCCCCGGACTCTTCCTCCTCTCCAAGAACACGCTCCAGCGGCTGCCCCAGCTGCGCTGGGAGGAGGCTGACGCGGTCATTGTCTCAGCCAGGTAAACTGCATCCCTTCCCCTCGGCTCCTCTCCCCTTCTCAGGCATTATAGGGGTGGAAGGTACCCCAGTCCTTCCCTGGACCCTTGGCCCATTAGGGACTGGGGGTTCCTGAAGTGGTTGGTGGGATTTACCTCCAAGCTTCCTGCCCCCCTCACTGCCTTACTGTCCCAGGAGACCTCGTTCAAGCCCAGCCATCTGATCTACTAGTATCCAGACTGCTTTTCTTTCCTCTCCCCCATTCACCCTCCCACCCTCCAAAACAGGATCAGCATGTGACTAAAACATTCCTATAAGATATTAGGGAATAAGGCAAGGGGCAGAGAGCTGTGTATTAGTCAGGGCACATGTTTGGGGGTACAAGGGACAGAGGAGTGAACAGCAGAACTCTGTACAAGCTGGAATGAGGGCCAGAGTTGGGGAGGGGAGCATGGGGACAGTCAAAGAGTGAGCGGGAAAGTGGCTGGGGGAATGTGGGGTCACCAAAGAGTGTCATGGTGACTGGATGGCCTAGCACTGCGAGAACAGGCCTGGGGTACCTCCTTGCCATCCAGTGCTGTCCCTGTCCTGACCCTCCCGAGGAAAACACCTTGTTAACAGCATTGTCTCATCTCAAGATGACCTCCCTGGTGTCTTCCTGAGAGGAGGACCACTCGGTGTCCACGAATGACCAAGGGAAGGAAGACAGCAGCGAGGAGTGGGGTGTACTGAGGAGTAGAAGCAGGACAGGTCCCGGAGCCTGAGGTGGGGGGCGAGCCCCGGGCAAGCTGGCCTCAGGCAGAGATGGGCAGACAGTGGCCCGAGGCACAGGAACTGGAGAGTAAAGACAAGAGAAACCAAGGGCTGCCTCTCCTTCCTCTACCTCTGCTCCCTCTTTCTCCCCAGGCTAGTGTCCTCTGTCCAAGCGGTCATGGCCTCCACCGCTGGCTACATCGTCTCCACCTCCTGCAAGCATGTCATTGATGACCAGTAAGTGCCACGAGACCAACTTTGCCCAGGTTCCCGCAGCCCGTGTGTGCGTGTAACTCCCGGGGACCCCAGGTCTTCTAGGGGACTCCTTCAGTGGTCCCCAAGCCCTTCACTTGGGACTGAGCAAGTTAACTGCATTAGCTGCAACTCAACACCCAGGGATAAATTTATCCATGTCCTGTCCTTAAAGGTCAGAGCCAGGGGGAAAAGGAGAGGGGATCAGAAAGGATTGTCAGAGCGTCTCCTAGGCTTCCTGGACTCTCATATCGTAGTCCTGTGTGCCCTTTCCTCCCCCCTTACATCCCTCAGACCCCTTTTCTAACCAGCACTGCAACGGGGGTACCTCCCTCCCATGCCAGGCTCACCCCTCTGCCCCCCTCCCAGAACCCAGGTGTCCAGTCCCAGCTCCGTGCACAAGAGGGAGACAGAGGAGCGAGATGACTGAGACAAGGCCACTAACGGTTGGGCTGTGGGGGGTGGGGGGGAGGGGAAGGGTGAAGAGGCCAGAATTTGGCACTGGCTGCTGCTGCAGTGCGGGGTGCTTGCCAAAAAAGCCCAGGCCTGAGAGCTGGGGCGGGAGGAGGAAGGAGAGGGGGCCCTGTCCGTGGTGCTGACGGGCCAGCTCCAGGTGACCCGTCTGCAGGATTGCCCGGCTGGGTGCTGAAGACAGACACTCCGCGCTTAACTTCCGGTCCTGACCCCCTTCTCTGGTGACTGTTGGGTGGTAGGAGCACAGTCTAGAGGACCCTGACCTGGTGGCACCCCTCTTTCTCTACAGATGAGTTCCCTTCTCTGTGGAGTGAGGTACAATCCTTCCTGGAAGGGCTGCCCTGAGGAGGCATTGAGTTGCGTGAGCCCAAAGCAGTTTGTCCCTTGCACAGTGGGCACTTAACTCTTTCTTCAGATTCCATTGGGACACTTGGCTTCCTCTTCCCCTCTGCCCTTCTCCTCCACCCCCGGACCTAAGAGGAGCCTTCTCACACAGAGGTCACCTTTCCACTCATATTTCTTACCCCCCTCCCCGGGTCTGTTCTTGTCCCTTCCCCTGTAATCCTCAGGTGGGTGGGGAAGATCAGGGTTAATCCAGGGACAACAGCTGTTCCTACTCCTGAACACCTAGCTGCTGAGGGTGGGGGACGGGTTTAACTCTTCAGGTCAAACCAGGACTGCTCCCCCCCCACCCCCCCCCCCAACAAGCCACACTGGCCCCTGGGGCTAGCTCTCCCAGCCACTCCTGCTCCAACTCCCCCTGGGCCAGTCGAACCCCTTTCCACCAGGGCTCTCCCTGCTTTCCTGCCCTGAGTGTCTAACCTGGGCTGCTGCTCCCTTTCCCTTTTGCCTTTCTCCATGCTCCAGCGTGGGTCCCAGATTCTCTTTGCCCCAAATCATCTCTCCTGGAGTGGGCTACCTGTCCCCTTGCTGGCTGGTCTTCAAGGGTTTGTATTCTGTCTCCCTCTCACCCGATCCTTCACTGGCCTCCCCCCAGACCCTCATTCCTCTTCTCCCTTGGGCAGCTCCTCCTATGTGGTCTCAGCTCCTTCTCTGCGTCACTCCGGCTGACTTTGCTTTCATCCCTCCACCTAGCTGGGCCAGTTCCCTGACCTCGCACTCCCACCTGAGACCTGCCATGCGGCTATAACATTTAAGAGAAAGTGCTCATTGTGCTGAGTCAAGAAGAAAAATGCAATGTTGCATATTTGTGCACTTTTCATTTTTGTTTATTCTCAAAGTACACAGAACTTTCTCTCTTCTTGGCTCCTTTTCCTCAGCATTTTCTTCTTAATGCTTGGCTGTACCTGAAACAAACAAACAAACAAACAAACAAACCAGCAACAACAACAACAAGAGGTTGGGCCATATTCGGGCAGAACAGGCAGCGTTGACAGTACCACCAAGTCCCCAGTGCGGCTTCTCGGTGATACCTGTCTCGAATCTTCTAGGGACAGTGGAGCCAGACTTCCCATGGTTGGTTATTCCTTGGCCAAGTCACCTAGTCTTTCAGTTTCCTCATCTGTAAAATGGGGGTGGTAACCAACCCTACTTTGTATAGGGTTTCTGTGGGGAGTGAATAAGTTTAGGCATGTAAAAGGTTTTGGATGTTAGAACAGTGCCTGCGTGTCAATGGATGTCGCCAGTATGACCCGTCTCCATTGCTTTTGCCTCTTCTGCTGTCATTTGTCCTAACCTCGCCTGTCTCTCAGATCTTGCCTGAGTTTGCTTTCTCATTCTGTCACTGCCCTGTGGTCTATGGCTGTCCTTTGGTGTCTTCTCCCTACCTCCCCTCTCCCCATATTGCAGAGAGAGAGAATATGAATGAATGAATGAATGAATGAATATGAAAAAGGGGTGCGTTCTGAGGTCAGACAGTCTGGATTTGATTCCCAGAACTCCTACCTACCGGCGTTGTGACCATCTGACCTTGGGCCAGTTTTTTGCCCTCTACCCTTGGGTTCCACCATGGATCTCGAGAGTCCACTCACACTTTCACAAGTGTGAATATCACTTGTGATCTGATTCCGGTGGCATGTCCAGGGCTGACCCAGGCACCTGGTCACTGCTCTGTCCATCTCCTTTCCTCTCTGATCTCCTCTCCCCTCTCTCTGCCCAACAGACACTGGCTTTCCTCTGCCTACACGCAATTCGCTGTGCCCTACTTCATCTATGACATCTACGCCATGTTCCTCTGTCACTGGCACAAGCACCAGGTCAAGGGGCATGGAGGGGATGAAGGGGGGCCCAGAGCCCCGGGCAGCACCTGGGCGGTGGCGCGCGGCTACCTGCACAAGGAGTTCCTCATGGTTCTCCACCACGCCGTCATGGTGCTTGTGTGCTTCCCGCTGTCGGTGGTGAGTCGGGGTGCTGAGAGCCAGGGCTCCCTGTCCTGCTCACACCAGTGCTATAGGAGTCAGGGGAACCCTGTGGCCAGGTCCCCCAGCAGCAGGGCAGTCCCAGGACGGAGAGGGTTTCCTGAGCACCAGGCTAGCCCCAAGCACTGAGAGGGTCTGGAATCTCCTGGCCCGGGCTGGATATGCCCAACCGTGGGGCCTGGGAGCCATTGTTGCAGGTCTCTTGGCCTCGGTTCCCTCGTCTGTAACAGAAGGTATAAAGTCCCCTCCGCCCCCCCCCACCCCTGCAGGATGGTTGGTAGGATACGGACTTCCCGTGAATAGGGTGAACACAGGTGTTCAGACTTTCCGAGTTGAGCATCTCCAAAAGTGGCCCCAGAGAGAAGAAGGGAGGGAGTCCAGGGTGAGGCCAGGCTAGTTCCTCCCTCTCCTCCGCAGGTGTGGCGTCAGGGCAAGGGAGACTTCTTTCTAGGCTGCTTGCTGATGGCGGAGGTCAGCACCCCCTTCGTCTGCCTTGGCAAGATCCTCATCCAGGTGAGAGGGGCCTGCGGGTGTGTGAGCCTCAGGGGAGGGCACTTTCGGGGAGCTCCAGGAATTCTTCAAGGGACCAGGTCTGGGAGGGGCTGCAGGCGAGGGTCAGGGGAGGCGGGGTCCGGGGAGGGGGCAGAGAAGGGGAAGGGGGCGGAGTCGGGGCCCCGCCCGCTCTCTGACCGCCCCGCCCACCTGCCCGCCCGCCCGCAGTACAAGCAGCAGCACACTCTGCTGCACAAGGTGAACGGGGCCCTGATGCTGATCAGCTTCCTGTGTTGCCGGGTGCTGCTCTTCCCCTACCTGTATTGGGCCTACGGGCGGCACGCCGGCCTGCCGCTGCTCGCCGTGCCTCTCGCCATCCCGGCCCACATCAACCTGGGCGCCGCGCTGCTCCTGGCCCCCCAGCTCTACTGGTTCTTCCTCATCTGCCGCGGGGCCTGCCGCCTCTTCCGGCCCCGGGGCTCCCGACCGCCCTCTCCCTGCCAGACCCAGGACTGAGGGTGGGGCCCGGGGGTGGGGCGCTCCCCTGCCCCATCCCACCCCCCACCTTGGGGCCGGGGCTTTGGGGCTGCCGGGCAGAGGGTGGGAGCCAGGAGCCTCTTGCCCTGACAGCCCCGGGACTGACAGGTGGACAGCAAAGGGGTAGGACATCTCCCCTCAGGGGCCGAGGGGCGGGGACCAGTGACAGGCAGGGAGGGGAGCCTCATCTCCCAGCAGTGCCTGAGCCGAAGGTAGCTAACCCTTCCTGCACACCCCTTCTCCCATCACCTAACCTGGGGCCCTGGGGAAGCGAAGGACAGAGGAAGGGGCCATCACTTCCCATCCACTGAGGGCTAGAGGGCCGCGGGGAAACTGACTCAAGGGGACCAGGACTCAGAGAATGTGGGGGAGGCCCTGCTGCCAAGGCCATCCCAGCCAGCCCCCCTGCTGCAGACTCCTCTCAGTTCCCCACCATCCGGGAGGGAGGGGACACCCTAACTAACCTCCCCCCACGCAGGCCTTGCTTGGGGCTAGCTGCCTCCACTGCTCCTCTCTCGGGGAGGCCAGCCTGAGGAATCTTACTTATTTTATTTATTCGCCCAAATCCATACTAGTCTCTGGGGGTGGGGGGAGGGAGGTGGCTGCTACTCCCCCACCTTCCCAGTGCTGAGCAATCCCGGGGGCAGGTGAGGGGGCACCCTGTCCCTTCCCCTTTAGGCTGCACATCTTGCCCTCGGGGCCCTGGCATGTCCCTGGTGCTACAGACCTCTCAAGGCTTCCTCCAGTCTGGGGTCAGGGGACCCTGGGAGGTGCTTTCCAGACCGCTAATAAAGACGATCTGATCTGCGTGAACGCCAGCAAGGCCCTCTTCACCCAGTTGTTTGGTGCGGGGAAGGGTGGGGGGTCTGGGGGTAGAAAGAGCGGATGACCCCAGGACGGCGCAGGAAGCCTGCCTAGTTAATGGAGCAGTCAGGGAAGGAAAAAGTAGACTTTTATTCATCAGCAGGAGAGGAGGGTGGGTTTGGGCACTCAGGGCAGAGTCCTGGGCCCTTGTGCGGCTCCTCAGGCCCCTCTCTCACAGCTCCTATGGGATGGAGACAGAAGTGGGAGGCCTCACCCATGCTTCCCTAGGCTTTTTAGGTCCTTCAGCCTCGCCCAAGGCCGGCTGAGGTGGGAGGGGCCGGCGGAGATGGGAGGGGCCAGCGGAAATAGGAGGGGCTGGCCGAGGTTGGGGGGTGGCCGGCGGAGGGAGGGGGGGGCCGGGGGAGGTAGGAGGCTGAGGTGGGAGGGGCCAGCGGACGGGGAGTGCGGGGACCTTACATGTGTGTGCAGAACTGGTAAAGCAGGAAGAAGAAGGCCACTACCAGAGCGCCCACCAAGATGTGATGGAAGAACTCGGAGTTGGATTCTGTTAGACGAGGAGGAGGAGATGGGGACCTGGTCTCCTCTCCAATGGAAGGGCCAAGGGCAGCTCTTCTCCAGGCCCTGGGAAGGAAGGCAGCCCCTTCTCAAGTGGGTTCATACCTGAGTTAACAAAGATGACCGGTTTCTCTCCAATAAACTGGGCCACAGCCAGGAGCCTGGCTTGGTCTGAGTCTGGGTAATCAAAGAAGTCGGGTCTGTCTATGAAGTACAGAGACTCTGCTCCCCGAGCCAAGGTGTTGGTGCTCTCCTGGCTGGGTGCTAGGGAACAAAGTCTATGTCAAGAATCAAGCAGACCCCTGCCCTCCATCCCAAGAAGCTCTAGCTGACCCAGGACCCTGCCAGGCCACACAGCCTTAGCGTGGCTGGGGAGGGGCTTGATTCTGTTCCAGGAACTTCTCAGGGATCAACGGAGCTCTCCATGTGAAGGATGAGGAGGGTGGGAGAGACATGTGAAGGGAGAGGAAGGCCCTTCCTCAGCCTCCCAGCTCCTAAGGCAGATCAACCCTTCACCCCAAGACTCCCTCCTCCCCACTGCTCCCAGGATAGCTTCCCACCTGTTTCTATGGCCCCCAGCCCAACCAGCCACACCCATGCCCACGCCCACTGCCACAGCCTCATGACACTTCCACTCCTGTGACAGGGTTGGGGGCTCTGTGATGTCACAGCCTGGGGTCATTCTGAGCATGAGCTCTGGGGTGAGGGGAAAGAGAAAGCACTGGGAGCTGGGACCCTCCCCCCAAGTCCCCACACCAGAAGACACTTTAGGACCCCCTTCGCCCAGGGCCTTCATCGTTGGGGTGATGCCAATGATAAAACAGTAACGGGGCAGTCCCAACATTTAGAAATAGGAGGGACCTGGGACAAGCTTGCTGGAAGCTGGGACTAAGGAGAGGTGCCTTTATGTAGCAGGCACCGTCTTTCCTGGGGTGAGGGGCAGGGATAAACACTTCCAGTTACCCCCCACCCCCATCCACTCTCTACATGGACTCCGTTATCCATCACAGTTAGCCTGTCCTCAATATACAGAAAAGGGAACCAAGGCACAGAGGAGCAAAGTAATGTGGGCGACGCACACTTCCCAGGGCTGTGCATTTTCCTCTCTGAGGCAACCCCCTGCCTGTGTCCCCAGATTCAAGGGCATAGGGGGTGTCCCTTAGCGCTCTGCTGAGGATGACCCTGGGGTTGGGAGCCAGGAGAAATAACAGGCTTGTCCCACTAGGTGGCAGCAGTGCTCACCGTTGCCCTTTTCCCTCCCACCCTCGAGAGCACCGCTCCAGCTCCCCCAAGCCCTCCTCCCGCTTCTTCCCGCAGGTGCTGCAGGAGAAGGTGCTGCTGCGGGAACGGCTGGCTCGGGGGTTGTCGGAGGAAAGGCCCGCCCATCTCGAGGCAGATCTTTTGGTCACCCACAGCACCCTGGCAGGCTCCCCTCTTTGGGTGGGGTTCCCCAAGGACCATCCCATTTCCCATTTCCAATCCCTGCTGTTCTCTATTTGTCACTTCCCAACAGCCGCTGTCAATCCTGCGGGCCCTCTCAGCCTCAAAGAGTTAGCTCTCCTCTGATTGGCAGGTGGGCCTGTCCGTCACCGATGTGTCCCGCCCCACCCAAGCCCAAGGACACTTCAGGGTCTTCTTGGTTTGACTACACAGATGCCTGTTGGACAGTCTCTGCCAGTCCGGTTCTGTGACTTCCCCCAAAGCAGGCACGTGTCTGTGGCGTGTTGGGGGGATGGTGTCTTCGGTCCTGTGATGGAGGCGGATCCCCACTCCTCCTCTTTTTTTGCCCTCGGGCTACCCTCTGTGTTCTCACAATAGCCCGCAGTCAGGTGGGTCCTTGCTCTGCTCAGCTTCTATTTCCTGAACAATAAAGCTCAGGGAGGAGAAAATGGGGGGAAAGGAGACACAGACTAACATCTAACATCTACGGGATGTCCTGTGGGCCTCTTTCCCCTACACTGCTCTTCTAAGAAAGAGGAAGTGACTTACCCAAAGTCATGGCCCCCGTTTAGCCAGGAGAAGGGCTCCAGAGACTTAAGTCATGGGAGTAGATCCTGGAGTCTTCTCACCCACCCCAAAAGAGTGCAGCTGCCCTCCACCAGAAAAGGCCTTTTTGACACTGACAGTGAGGTAAATGTATTGAGTTCCTGCTCTGTGCTGGGCTCCATTTGTGGCCTAGATAGAAATCACCAGGGCTTGGTCTCTGCCCTCAGGGATCACAGGGGAAAGAACTCTTGGGTGCACATCATTCAGGTATAGACAGATGACCCCTCAGGGGCTGTCTACACTTGCTGTCTCCGCTTCTGTTCTTCAACCCCTTCCAACCTGGCTCTGTCCTCACCACTCCACTGAAGCCACTTTTGCCAAGTCTAACAATGACCTCTTAACTTGCCAAAACTGATGGTTACTTTTTTTCATTCCATCCATCTCGTCTCGCAGCAGAACCATGCCCTTGCCTCTCGGTGTGAGAGCCATGCTCGCCCATTTTCAGGGTTCTTCCTTCTCCAGCCAGCTCAGCCTTGGACCTTCTCTTTTCTGTCTATATTCTCTCCCCCTAGGTGATCTCATTCAGTCTCATGGCTTTAAATACCTTCTATATGCTGGTGACTCACAAATGTATATTTCCAGCCTAGTCCTCCCCTCTGAGCTCCAGACTCCTCTATCCAACTTCCTGCTTCGTGTCTCTCTATGTCCAAAACCATCTCCAATTCAAGAGATCGCACATGGGCCTCTCGGTTCTCCTATCCCAAACTGGGCTCCTGCTTCCCATTCCCGCAAATGGGTCTCCCCGTTCCTTGAGCCAGGAGTCACCTTAAATGCCTCCCCCCCCACTCTCTCTCTGCTGACAGAGCAATCATCAAGCCCTGGTGGCTCAGTTCCAACATAAACCTCAAATCCATCCACCTCTCTCATCCTCCATTGCTGCCCACTCTTTCCAGTCAACCCCATGCCTCCCCTAGTATTTTCGACAGCCTGTGGACTGGTGGACTTCTCTCCGTTCACTCCTCCTTTGGGGAGAACAAACCAGAACACTCGGACCCCCTACTTAAAACCCTCCGACGGCTTCCTACGGTGCCCGTGTGTTATGAACTTCTTGCCCTGACCTGCAAGACTCTTGCTCAGCCCCTCCACCCACCCACTTTAGCTCTTGCACGACTCCCCTCGCTCAGCACTCTCCAGGCTTTGCACACACCTGTGCCTAGGACACGCTTGCCACCACGCGTGAACGGGCCAACTTCTCCTATCTTCTGAGTCTCAGCTGAGCCCACACTTTGCACAGGAAGGGAACTCCCATGGCCTTCGGATCATGCCCTGTCCATCTCACTGCTTTGGAGTTGTCTGTGTCTTTGTCTTGTTTCCCCCTACAAGCCTGTGAAGATCACTGCTCTTGGTCATAGACTTGCACCAAAGTACACAGTAGGAGTCCAATAAATGCTTATTGGCTGAATGGATGGATGAAAAACTTTCCACCTGTGGACAAGCCGGGGCTAAGCACTATCTGCTCTTTGCCTGGTAACTGGCTTGAAGTCCCCCTCCATGCTCACCTTGCCACAACCAAGGCTTTCTGGAAGCGTGCTGCTGGACCTGAGCTAAGCCACGAGCAGGCAGCAGCCCACGAGGCAGGATTTCTTGGCCAGGTTTCTCCCCTGACTCCCGCAGGCCCAAGTCCGCCTCTTGGCAAACCCACCAGCTCTGGTCCTGGACTTGGGGGGGGGGTCTCCCTTGGTCCTGCCTCCCCTCTCATCTGGATAGCCCCAAAGGAAACCTGATGATTGCCTTTAAATAGATATTATTTTAAAGTATTCTTTTGAATGGGGAACAGAGGCAAACAGTATAAAATTCAAAGTGTACAAAAGCATAGAATGTAAGTCTTTCCTATTCCTGCCCTACGCTACCCCCCAGCAATCTCCTTGGAGCGTGGTTACCACTTTTTTGGGCAGCCTTCCAGGGATAAGTTAAGCCCACAAAAAAACCAAACACGTATGAACTCTTTTCTCCCCCTTCCATTCATACTGTTCCGCGCCTTACTTTTTTAGATTAAGCTGAGATCAGGAAGACGACTCTATATACGAGTGTGCCTACAAGTATGAGGGCCTCTCTCTCAACATATGAAACTGGGTCAGAACTGATTGAACCGATCCCCCCACTTGTGGACATTTAAGTTGTTTCCAGTCTTTTGTCATTGCAAACGTGCTGCCTTTAAGAATCCTGAACTTCGATTATTTTGCTCATGGGCCAGCATATCTGTAGGATAAAATCCTACAAGTAGAATTTCTGGGTCAAAGAGTCTGTGTGTTTGCCATCTTGGTATCTACCGTCAGAAGGGCCTCCGCAGAGGTGGTGCCCATTTCCCCACAGCATTGTGTGCATTGTGTGTTAACAGATGCTTTGAGTTTTGTCATCTGGTCGGTGATGAGTGCTATCTCAGCGTGGTTTGACTTTGCATTTCTCTCGCTTTTTTAAAAAAAATCATTTATTTTTAAAAAATACACATATTTCTCTCTTAACCACTTGCAAGCATGCAGTTCCGTGGTGTTAAGTACATTCACATTATTGTGGAACCACACTTCTCTTACTTTTAAGTCATAAAACTTCAGGATGCCAATTTAGGGCTAGGCCCAGCTTGGGGGAGCCTCCAAGGCACTCCCTCGTGGTGGGGGACACAGAAGTGTAAACAGGCGGGAGAACTGAGCCTAAGGGAGCACATTGGAAACTAGGGGATGGTGTGGGGATGCTCCAGGAAGGCTTCTAGGAAGAGGTGACCCAGGATGACCCCGGGAAGGAAGGGAAGCTCTTCCAGGCCTGGGAAGAGCCAAGGAGAGCCTGGAAGAGAGCCAAGGTCCAGAGGCCTCAGGGGATCCAGGTGTGTTCTAGGAACTACAACGAAAATTCCTGCCAGACAGCCGGGGATCGGATCGGAGAAGGCCACTGTGAGGACTCTGTCTTGGGGGGACAGAGAGTTTGGGACAAAGAAGAGCAAGGATCCCAGGCTGGAGTTTAACAGGCGCATGGCGGGGTTCAGGTGGGAAAGGGCAGACAGGTGAGGGACCTAACTGCAGGGCTCCGGGGCATTCAGAAAGAAGTCCGACGCCCCTCCCCACCTGATGAACACAGTTGGAGATGGCAGGAGGTGGGGTGAGGGAGGGTAGATTCCCAATGGTCATGCCATTCCTGAGGAGGGTACCTGGGCCCTTGGGGTCTGGGTTGGGCCACAGGAGAGACGCCTGAACAGCTACAGAGAAGAGGCGTGGGGGAAGCCGCAGCCTCGGACCTGTCCCCTCCCTCTGACTGTGAGGTTCCCCAGCACGGCTCGGAGACCCCCCATATCCCAGACCCGCGTGCCCGGGAGGATCCGATTCCCGCCGCCTGCCCACGCCGGGATCACTGCGGATCTCTAAGCCCCGCCCCTAAAGACAGGGGGAGGGGAAGGCCCGACAACCTACTCCCTCCCCCGCGCCCTCTCCGTGGGGGAGGGGCGTGAGGATGCGCGGGGGGCGGGGGGAGGAGGAGGAGGAGGGTGGGGGAGAAGAGGAGGGGGGGGAGGAGCGGCGTCGCCATGGCAACCAGGCGGGTGGTCCGGCCGGGCAGACCCGGGAGGGAAGCGAGAGGACCGCGGAGGAGGGAGGCGCCGCCGGCTCGGCGCGGGGGCAGGGGCGGGGGCCCGGGGTCTCCGGGGAGTTGGGGAACACCGGGCAATTCTGGCCGCTGATTCCCGGTGGCGCAGGGAGCCCGGGTGTCTGCGAGTGTGTGCATGCGAAGTTCTCCGGGTTGGGTTAGTGCATGTGTGCGAGCGTGCGCACGTGGGCGCAGGCGTGTGCGCGGGAGTGCCTGTGGGTGGGTGGGTGGGTGGGTGTGTGTGCCCTCGCGTGCCGCCCGGACTGTGCCCGGCCGGCGCTGGCGGGAGAGTCCCGCCCCCTCCCCAGCCTCCGGCCGCCCCTCCCCGCCCCCCGCCGCCTGCGCCGGCTGCTTCCTCGCCTCCACCTCGCTCACCCCCTCCTCCCGCACTTTCTCCTGCTCTCCCTCCCTCCCTCTTCGGCTCTCCGTGCCGGACTCCGCGCTCTTCTCGCTGGCCGCCGCGGGAGTCGCCGGCCGCCACCGCCCAGCCTGCACCTGCCGTCCCCCCAGTGCCTGGGCACCTGTTGGAGGCAGACACAGACACAGACACAGGTGCAGAGGGCTGGGCCGCCGGGGGTGTGAGGGGGAGGGAGGGCGTGTGCGGTAGCCTGTGAGCCCACGGGGTGTTTAGGTCCCTGGAGGCTGCAATTTCTGGCGCCTCTTGGAGAGCCGGTCTCAAGAGGAGGCATCCGAGGCAGGGGTTCGCCTGAGGGGGTGGGGGGCTACAGGGTGGGGGGGAACCCGGCAGGCAGGCAGGTAGGCAGACAGATCCTGGGGCTGAATGAAGGGCCAGTGGGCCGTGGAAGCCTGGAGGAGTGGGTGACACACGGACCAGACAGGCTCCTGGTGCAGAGGGATGGACAGAGCCTAAGACCAGCAGAGGAGGGGCAGAGGAGGGGGCCTGCCGGGCTGCTTCAGAGATTGGCAGGGCCCAGGGGCAGACGGTGTCCCAGGATGAGGGGCAGGGGCTGCGAAGATGGCATCGGGACTGTCCAAAGGTATGTGGACATGGCCAACGGCAGGGACCAGGACCCATCTGGGGAGTGGGCTGGGGACCCAGTCCTGGTGCAGCACAGCTAGGGGTCTGGGGCCCCCAGGCCTCCTGCGGGCCCACCCACTGGCCCAGACTGCCCTCTCCCTCCTTTCCCAACACACCTGGGAAGAGAAGCCAGGGAGGGTCCCACCACCTGGGGAGGTCACCATCTGGCCCTCAGCCAGCTGCCAGCAGGTAGGGAGGAGGAGTCCTCCTGGGGCTCACGCTCTCTGGATCCTCCCTCCCGCAGCCCAGGGTGCTTGCTGCATGAGGGCCCGCAGAGGCGACCGCATGACCATCAACATCCAGGAGCACATGGCCATCAACGTGTGCCCCGGGCCCATCCGGCCCATCAGGCAGATCTCAGACTACTTCCCCCGCCTGGGACCAGGACCCGAAGGCGGGGGCAGGGATTTCAGGGAGGCCCCTGCCCGCCTTGCGCCTCTGGCTCTGGCCCCGCCTGCAGCCCTTCTTGGGGCCACCACGCCCGAGGACGGAGCCGAGGTGGACAGCTACGACTCGGATGATACCAGTGAGTCTGGGGGCTGGCAGGACCCCGGGGTGTTGGGGGGTGCTGGGGCCCCGCTGGGCGTGTTGGGGGAGGCAGGCTCTGCCTCCGCAGCTGCAGGCAGTGTGGAGATGACAGTTTCAGAAAGGCTCAATATTCAATATTTCTGCTGAGACACTCAACCACCCACACAGCCCCTTGCGGCCCAGCCAGGGACCCAGACGCTCGTGTGCGCGCGCACACACACACTCACAGGCCGACAGACACCTTCCCCAGCCGCACAGCAGCCGGCCTGCCCACTGGGCTCACGCACACACACCTGTCTTTACACACTGACTCACGCTAGTCTTCCCGCTTCTGCAGCCGCGCTGGGCATGCTGGAGTTTGACCTTCTCTATGACCAGGCCTCCTGCACCCTCCACTGTAGCATCCTTAGAGCCAAGGTAGGTATCCCGGCTTCCCCAGCCCGTTTCCAGGTCCCCAGGTTGGGCCCCCTCCTCCTCCTCCTGGCCCCTGTCCCCCAGCACCCTTCTTCTTGACTCTCCGCACCCCAAGGATCCACTCTGCAGAGGGAGGGAGGGAAGGAGGCAGACAGGGCTGGGAGCTTGCAGCCCTCTTCCCTCCCCTCCCCTCCCCTGCAGGGCCTCAAGCCCATGGATTTCAATGGTCTGGCCGACCCCTATGTCAAGCTGCACCTGCTGCCTGGGGCCTGCAAGGTAACGGCCTCTTCTGTCCCTCAGCCTGACCTGGCTGGTGGATCTGTCCCCAACCTGCCCCTGCCTTCAGCCTCTGTGGGTCTGGGGGACGTGTCCTGAGAACCTTCATCTCCACACCTCAGGCCAATAAGCTCAAAACAAAGACTCAGAGGAACACGCTGAATCCTGTGTGGAACGAGGATCTGACGTACAGTGGGATCACAGACCAGGACATCACCCACAAGGTGCTCAGGTGAGGGCTCCGTTGTCCCTGCTACCCGGGATCCCAGCTCGGCGCCTCCTCCGGGGGCTGTCATTGCCACCTCCTTTGGTTGATCTGCCCCCCATTAAGGCCCTCTCACATGCCCTGGAGCAGTCACTGGCCCCCCATTCCCCTTCTACGGCAGCAGGCAAAATGTGTCCCTGGCACTCCTGCCCCTCCCAAGAATCTCCTCCTACTGCTGCTCCAAGAGAAGACTGGCCACTCACTGCAGACTGGTCTGTTGTGTCTCTTCCCTGGAGAGTGCTCCCCGCTGTGCCTCCTCCTGGAAGCTTTCCCTGGTTGCCGAGAGCCCTCCTCATAGCCCCTGACAGGTCAGACCTATGTAGCAGAGGTCTGCCCGTTCTGTTTCCTGTGCCGCCCCAACAGCCAGTGCCAGGGAGTCAAGTTTTCAGGGACCGGAAACTTGCTCCATCGTTCCAGGAGGTGGAGCTGTGGGGCCTGTGGTCCCTGACCGGATGGAGGGGCACCACAGCGCAGGCTTGTGAGGCCTTTAGCTGTGTTCTTGGCAAAGGGGAAGTGGGATGGGGGGAGGGAAGGGTTGGCATTGGGGGCCTCCGGGGGCGTGGTCAGGCTGGGTTTTGATCACCCTGCTGGCTGTGAGGCCAACTGGGGGTTCAGGGGGAGTGGGGGAAGACAGAGGCAGACCCCAGGAAGGCTGGCCCATCTTTCAGGAGGCCTGAGCAGCTGAGTGCTCACCGGGGCCCAGCCCTGGGCTCTGCACTATGACATTCATTTCCCTTGATTCTGATAGGTATAGGGGCTGGGTACTCATAGCTCTGTTTTATAGATGGGAATTGAGGCACAGGAGGTTACGTGACTTAGCCAAGGTCACACGGCAGCTAGTAGGTGGCAGAGGTGGGAAATGAATAGCTCTCTGTGACAGAGTTCCTCAAGACTGTCAGGACAGAAGGGAGCAAGGAAAGCTGCAGAAGGGGACGAATGGAACTAAAGGCAATCATGTCTTAAAGATTTTATGAGAGAACAAGAGCAAGCGAGAGCGAGAGCAAGTGCAGTCATGCACACTAGCAGGGGGAGAGGGAGAAGCAGGGAGCCCGGTGCTTGGCTCGATCCCAGGACCCCGGGATCAGGACCTGAGCCAAAGGCAGAGGCTTAACTGACTGAGCCACCCAGGCGCCCCTGAAAGCAATCATTTCTTGATCGCTGGGCCCACGTGCCTCTCCCAGGCTGCCTCCCTGCTGCACACAGACAAGGACAGGAGTGCCAGACTATGGGATCCTCTTCCGACCGCCCAGGGCTCCTCCAGGAGCTTCTAGCCCTTGCACACTGTCACCCACACCCCCAGTGCCTGCTCTGGGAACCATGTTCAGTTGGATCCCGTCCCCAGGCTCCGAACGGAGGCAGCGGAGGGTGGTGGCCCTTGGGATTTGTGAGGGCTTTCTGAAGGAGCTGCTCGCGTTCCGATGGACCAGGGCTGGCCTGGGAAGCCGGAGAGGGTGGGGCGGAGGAATGGGGCAAATGACAGCACCCTATCACGCTCCAGGCCAGGCGCTCACCACACAGCCCAGGAAATGGGTGAGGTATGGAGAATTTGGGACAGAGCTAGGACTGGCTTCAGGTGCTCAGAGTTGGGTTGGAGGGCCTTTCTGCCTGACCCGAGCAGACCCTGAGCCTGCAGTTCCCTGCCAGGATCTCCGTCTGTGACGAGGACAAGCTGAGCCACAACGAATTCATAGGGGAGATCCGAGTGCCCCTCCGCCGCCTCAAGCCTTCGCAGAAGAAACATTTTAACATCTGCCTTGAGCGCCAGGTCCCGGTCTGTGTAGGGGCTGGTCTGGGGGGGGTGGAGGGCGGTGACCCTGGGGAGGCCAGGTTTCCAGAACCTTCTCTCGGTCCCCTCAGCTGGCTTCCCCATCCTCCATGTCGGCGGCTCTGAGGGGTATCTCCTGCTACCTGAAGGAGGTGAGGTGCCTCCCCGGGGGGCAGGCGTGGGTGGGTGGGGGCGGGGCTGCAGGCTGAGCCCCGAGTCTGTCCCGCAGCTGGAGCAGGCCGAGCAGGGTCCCGGGCTGCTGGAAGAGCGCGGCCGCATCCTGCTGAGTCTCAGCTACAGCTCTCGGCGCCGGGGCCTGCTGGTGGGCATCGTGCGCTGCGCCCACCTGGCCGCCATGGACGTCAACGGCTACTCGGACCCCTACGTCAAGACGTGAGCCCGCCCCACCCTGGAGCCTCACCCCTGCGCCGGCCTCCCTGGGGACCGACCAGCCCCTGACCAACCTGCTCCCCCGCCCCGTCTTCCTCCGTAGGTACCTGAGGCCTGACGTGGATAAGAAATCCAAGCACAAAACGTGTGTGAAGAAGAAGACTCTCAATCCAGAATTTAATGAGGTGAGTGGGGCAGGGCCCAGAAATTGGGGGTGGGGGGTGGGGCGCAGGGTCCTGGGGCCTCACGGAGTATGTGGCCTGCTCTGCCCCAGGACTTCTTCTACGAGATGGAGCTCTCCGCTCTGGCCACCAAGACCCTGGAAGTCACAGTCTGGGACTATGACATCGGAAAGTCCAACGACTTCATCGGTGAGGGAGGAGTGTGCCGGGTGGGGGCTGATGGGTGGGGCGCGGGGGAGAGGGGTTGGCTGGCAGAGAGCCCAGACCTGACGGTGCCTGCCTCTTGTCGCCTCCCAGGCGGCGTGTCCCTGGGGCCCGGGGCCCGGGGCGAGGCCCGGAAGCACTGGAGTGACTGTTTGCAGCAGCCCGATGCAGCCCTGGAGCGCTGGCACACCCTGACCAGCGAGCTGCCCCCTGCCGCTGGGGCCCTGCCCTCCGCCTCCGCCTGAGCGCATGGCCCCCCGCCCGGCACAGGCCCCGTGGGGCCGGAACCCCACCTTCGCACGAGTGTGTTGCACGTTTACACGGGGTGGACGCCCCACCCCCCACTACCTGTCTTATTTTCGTGAGAGTCTGCGTGACCGTGGGTCTGTCTTTCTCGTGAGGGACCGTGGCGGTCTGTGTTCACATATGCAAACTTCCTCCTGCCTGACTCGCTCCCATGCAAATATGCAAACACCATTCCCGTGTGCGCCCGAAGGGGGCTGTTGCGCCTCCCTCCTGCCTCTCCAGGCTGCCCCGACCCCCCCAGGGAGGAGGTCGGATTCGGGGGGGTTCGGAGGAGGAGACAGTCTCCAAAAAAGAGAAGGACAAAAAACCCCACAAGAAACAAAAACACAAAAAAAGAGCCACTCCTTTAATACAGAACCCTCGGTAAAAACCAACCAACCTAGCCCTGTACAGCTGCCCTTTTAAATGGGGAGACCACCGCGGGCTCTCTGCCTGTCCCAGAGTGGGCAGATGCTCGTGGCCACTCATTTAAAGAACTGTCCCCTGGCTGGGGCCGGGATGGGAGGGCAGGGCCTCTGCCCTGCCCCACAGGGACCCACCTCTCTGTGGGGGTGGGGGGGGGACGATATTTGTGCATGTTTACGCCTCTTCTGATTGTGTCAGTGGCCGCGGCATGGCAACTGGGCGCCAATAAACGTCTCTGCGGAAGCGGGGGGCTCGTGTGTGCTGACTTCGGGCACAGGATGGGGGCCCGGCCAGAGAGGGGGTCACTCCGGGATGTCGATCACCAGGTCGTCGTCCCCGTCCAGGGCGTCGTCCCCGCTGCCCGCGTCGCTGAACATCTGCCGAGGGACGGCGCTCAGGATCGTGGGGGGGGGGCATTTTGGGGGGGGGGTAGGGGGGCCAGGGCCGCCCCCACCCCAGCCCCAGAACCCCGGCCCGGGAAGGTCAGCGGCCCTCCCACGGGGCAGTCGGGGGGTCCCACCGCCATCTGCAGCAGGGGGAAGAAACAGAGGGAGGGCTGGTCAGGGAGGCACTGGACCTCTGGGAGGCTGGCAGGGCCTCTTCCCGCGGCCCTGGGGGACAGGGAAGGGGGCGAAGGCTCATGCCAGGCCAGCCAATGCTGGGATCAGGGCTGGGGCCCTGCCTCACCTCAGCCCCTTGAGTCTCAACCCAGCGAGTGCCTGTAGGTGAGGGGTGGTGATGGAGGCGGTGATGAGCGGGGTGGTGGTGGTGGGGGGGGGTCTCACAGGACACCAGGAGGGGAAGGCCGGGCTGCCCTCTCCAGGGAGGCATCTTGGCTGACCGGTGCACTGGAAGCTGGTCAGAGTTGGCCGGCAGTGCCGGCCGGCCCGCCTCCGACCCCACTTGGCAGCACTGGCCTTCTCTCCCTTCTACTTTAGGACTCACTGGTGAGGTGGAGGGTGTCCTGGGTCTTTGCCCCGCCCGCCGGGTAAGGCCTCTACCTCTTATATCTTGGATGGGGCCCCTCCTTGGGATCCCCGCAGCCACTGGCCTAGGCCAGGCCCTCTTCTCGGCTCACCTGGGCTACGGTACCAGTCTCCTAACTGGACTCCCTGCCTTCAGCCTCTCCCAGAGCCAGCTCCTCCTCCACACTGCAGCCCGAGTGCGCTCTCTAAAACACAGACCTGAGCGCGTCACTCCTCCACTCGAGGGATAGGCGGGAAGGCGCACCTGAGAACAGGCCAGTCCCTCCACCTGGAGTGTCCTTTTCTAGTCACCGGAAGTCTTGCTTTGTCCCCTGAGGCTTAGAAGTGGCCTCTGTCCGGCCCAGCCCTCCAGCCCCCGCCTCCTGCCAGGTGTGAGTCCCCCCATCCCACCCCAAGAGAGCTCTGTGGACCCCAACTGGGAACCTGCTACGTGCCAGGTGACTGCTGCTAAAGGTCAGAGACCACCCTGGGACGGAGGGGAGGGCACAGCCAGAGGAGGAATCAGAGACTTGCAAATTAAGACCCTGAGCCACAGGCCTGCTGGGTCCCCACCAGGCAGGTCCCGTCTGGCCCCAGGTGGCGGTGCCAGGAAGCGCTTGCTTGTGTCTTTGCCACTGGGCCCACTTTCACACCTTCTACCCTCACAGCCTCACGTCTGCCTCTCCAGGAGCCCCCAGCCCTGCTGCTGTCCTTGGGGTGGTGGCAGGCCTGTGCCTCCAGGAACGAGAGTCAGCCAAGACCAGTGACAGGAGGCCCAGCTCCATGAGGACAGCCCCTTTTCTCTGGCTACAACCCACCCTGCCTGGCCTTCGTCAACAGCTTCTGCGTGACCAGGAGCAGCTCCCATTGAGCCCCAGGCACTGAGCTGTGTGTTTTGTCTCCCTGAACTCAGTTTATTCTACCCCCACCCCACCCAACAGAGAAGAAAGCTGAGGCTCAGAAGGGGGAAATGACTTGCCCAAGGTCACACGGGGAGTGTGTGGAGGACTCAAGCCCACTCTGACTGAGGCCCAGGCCCTTAACAGACCCGCTCCCATCTTCATGGCTGTCCCTTGTCTCCCCAGACCAAGCCACGCAGGAATTTCAGTGACCCCCACCCCTTTACAAGGACCTTCTGGCTCTGGATTCCCAGGCCTCTGTAATCCCTCCCTCACCCTCTGTTTCTTCTCGCCATCCTTCTCCCTCCTCAGTCCTGCCCGAACAATACTTCTGCCATGTCCCTGTCTTCCTTCCAATCCTGTTGAGCCTGAAATTTCCAAATCTCACCTCCCCTGGGCTCAAATGTTACCTCTTCTTTGAGGCCTTCCCTGATTTACTCCTTCCTCCACCACAGCAAGTGATCTGGGCCCCTCTCTCAACTAACCAAACTTTTCCCTCCTCGATGGTCACAGCTCCGCTCCCCGTCCTCTCGATGCAGGACCCACACCTCAGGAAACCTCACACCGCCACACCACACTCATGCCACACCTCCCCCAGCACCCACTCCAGGCTTCACAGCCCCTGGCCTGCCACACCATCCCGGCTCTACAGTCCAGAAGCAAACCCCTACCGAGGAGAGTGCAGGGCCAAGGTCACACAGATGGTAAGAGGCAGGGCTGGGATTTGAACTCCAGAACCCACACTCTTCACCACCACAAACGTGACCTCCCAATTTGCCTCCAACTTCTGTCTACCCAACTTGAAAGCTGCCCTGTCAAGTCCCAGTTCCACTTTGACTCGGAGCTGTAAGGGTGCTGTGCCGCCCGTGCCCTCATCTCTCCCAGGGTTCAGCACGCAGGCCTCTTCCCTGCTCCATCCGCGTTTCCCCCCAGTCACACGCGGCTCCACGCTGAGCACTTCAAAACATGCACCCCACGAGCCCCAAGTTCCTAGTGTCTCACTGGCCTTTCCAGACTGCATGTCCCAATTTGTCTTCCCTCCCAAAGCTGCTCGCCCCGCATCCCAGAGGCGGCCATCCCACTCCTTCCGTTGCTCAGGCCCCCAAACCCTGGAGCTGCCCCGGGCTTCGTGCCTTCCCGCAGCCCGCGCTGGCCTTCCAGTGGCTCCATCTTTGAAATCGATGCTCCCCACCTGCTTCCCTGTGGGGCCCTCCTCAGAGGTCTCCCCACTTCCATTCTGACCAGGTGCCTCCCTGGTCCTATTCTCTGCACCGCAGTCAGTCCCGTAAGGAAGAGCGGACTCCTCTGTGCCCGACCTTCTGCGACGGTTCCCCCGTTTCCCCCCGTTTCCTTCACAGAACAAGCAAAGTTTCTGCAACACGGAGAGGGCACTCCACGACTCTGCCCCTTGGTTATCTCTCTGACCTGCTCACCACCGCGCCCCCCAACCCCTCCCTTGCCTCCTACCACACCGGCCTCCTTCCTGGTGGCCCTCCTCGAGGCCTCTGCACTGCCTGCTCTCCCTGAAACACCTGTTCAGGGAGCCAGTGGTCATTTCTCGTTTCTTTGAAGCCTCTGACCCAGGAACGTCCCAGACTGCGCACCCCAAAACACCAGCACCTATCTACTCTAGAGCTCCCCCGCCCCCACTCTACCTGGTCCCATTTCTCGGCCCTGACATCCACTTATCTTGTCTGTTTCCACCTCTCTTGCTAGCATGGGGGCTCCGTGACGGCGGGGCTGCCGCCTCTGCAGCACCTAGAACAGTGCCTGGCACGCAGCACGTGTTCCCGAAATACTGGTTCGTTCCACGCTGTTTGGTTACTGAGTGACAGACGCAGGAGACGAGACCTGGAGGGTCACAGAGACCTGCTCAAGGTCACATGGCTTTTAACTGGTGCAGCCTGGACTCCAGCTGCCATGGCTTTGCCGTGCTCTGGGGCTGCCCCGCATCACAGACCACATGGGTCTTCACTCTGAGTGCCCCAAGGCTGGTCCTGGCCTCGTTCTTCTCCATGTCGAGCCTGGGGGCCAGGACGTTTCTGACCCACCCGTCGGTGCCTAGCCCTGGCTTGGGCCCCCGGCAGCCCCAAATCGATCCTTGGAAGTTCCTCGACAGGCCCCAGCCCGTCTTGAGCCTCCCTCGGATGGCGGTCCTCCTGCCATTCCGGCCCCTCCCTGACATCCCCCGATCAGGGTACCTTGAGTTTCCGGGGCAGGCGGGGCCGTTTCTCCCGCTTGGGCCTCAGGGGGCTGGGCTCGGGCAGCTGCAGGGCCAGGTAGTCAGAAGGGAATGGGGGGTAGGGGGGGGAAGCCAGCTGCAGGCGGGAGTGGGGGGATGGAGATGGGAAATGGAGTGGATGGGGTGGGGGAGGGAGGGAAGAAACGCAAACAGGAGGAGGAATGGAAAAACAAGAGGTGGTGATGAGTGTGGCTCCTGAGAACAGAAGGGGAAGGGACAGCAGCAGGACTGTGTCCTGAGCTCTGCTCTCCTCAGTCGCGCCTGTCCCCCATTCCTACACCAGAGAGAAGTGGGCAGCCCCGACGCACACCCCTCCAATGGACGCTTGCTGGCCACACCCAGACAGACATCCCCGGAGTCGGGCCGGCCTCCTGCTGAGGCCTGTCTGCCCAACGATGCCCACCTCACTCCCAGGCGGCTCAGTTACCGCCTCCCACCCTTGACCGCAACTCACCGAGCTCAGGTACGGGGAGGGGGCCGTGGAGGCCTGAAGGGGAAACCCCGCTGAAGGAGGCAGGGAGAGGCTGGAGGGGGAGGGGGCACCCCCCAGCGGAGGGCTTCTCTTCCTGGAGAAAGGACAGGGGACGGGGGCAGGGGGGTCAGAGGCAGCTATGAGGCCCAGGTGCCCCGGCCCACCCCCACCCCCCGAAGGAGGAGGATGGCTTCTTCTCACCTCTTAGGGGCTGGCGTGTCCGACAGCTTGGGTGTTCCCTCTGTCTCGCTGTTATCTGAAGATGCAGTGGCATCTGAGTCTGTGAGGGGGGAGGTCTGGTCA